GTTATCATGCTCACATATATGGCTGGAGGGTATTTCTAATTCCCCCCGTTTGTTCGTTAACAGCACACTATAATCACAACTTCGATGTCAAAATCTAAAGTATTCGTTATAAAATTTCAACCACAGCACATGGCTAGTTGAGCAGCCATGAAATTATTTAAGGTGCTACCTCACTTTGCTGTGACTACTTTGTCCAGAATGTCTTTTGATGTTTTCTTGACTGAGTTGCAGAGGCATGCAACCTGTCACTTTTTACTCATGTTCAAACAATATGTGCAACACCTTTCCTTTCCAAATAGTCTCAGAGTTGTTGTGGGTGTCTCCAACAAGTGTTAAGAGTGCTAGAGACATATTATGACCAGGAGTTCTTTTCAGGGCTTAATTTGAGCTGGATCCTGTCAGAACAGGATCCGGGAACTCTTATGTTGACAGGGTGTGTTCCAGTAACTGAATGGATCCGGTAACTCTCAGACTTACTAATAATAAAGTTATGAACAAAAATGACTGCCTTGAATGAATAAAACTAATAAAAAATTGGATATGTAAACTGAAAATAATCACATAAACACTCATTTTAAACACAACAGCCACTTACAACCTCTTAATATCACATATGAGCTGCCCCTTCAAGTAGCATTTCTGCTTCTACCGTTAAAATATTTCCGCCCCTAAAAGAGTGGTGGGGGTCAGCGCTGAGCTAACCAGTCGTACGTGGGCAGGAGCCCACAAGCAGCGGGCATGAACAGACAGAGGCCTGGAGGTTTCACATGTGGAGTCGGACAACAACGAGCGGGGACAGTCGGCTCTGAACCGTCAAGTAAGGGGGGAGGATGCTTGACAGAAGGGGAGTGTTTACAAATAATGGTAAACGTAGATGTTTAACAACCCGTTCAAATACATAAAAATGCAGGAAATTGCATCTAACTTTATTCAAAATTTTCTGGGGGAGGACCCCCAGACTCCGCCCCCTTTCAGCCAGCCCACCTGCTTTCCAGCATTGATCAGTTTACAAATTAAGCCCTGGTTCTCTTCTGACAGAAAACATCTGGGGCTAATGTCTGGATCTAAAAATGGCATTGTTGATAAATAATTGGTGAGAAATTAGTTCAAATCTGCCTTTCTTCATTTCCAAAGGGCACTCAAGTAGAAAGCAGATTTTCAAGCCATGCACACAAAAATAGTCCACGATATTCCAGAACTGGCATTTTGAAACTTGGCTGTATGACCCACTGGCCCCTTGGTCAAAAACAACATTCAGAGAGACTGCAACAAAACATTTGCACATGTTCTAGGTATTTATTTAGTATTATTTTGTAACCGCTGCAGCCAAGTGAGATCCTGCCTTAAGGTTTAAAGTATCTAAAATAGCAGTAATTAATTCCTGAATTGGATCTACTTTTAATAATATACTGGTATCCCAAGAAAACGTCTCTTGTTCCCCAAATGAAGCCACTCTGCTTTTTGCTGCAGGTAAGATATTGCCTACTCATGACTACTAAATACAGTCACCTTCAAAACCATAAATCATTCAATCAAAGAAGTGTTTGCTAAAGCGTGGAACAAAACACCTGAGACATTGAATTCCTTCGTGTTTTCAGTGTGAAAGTGTTTGTTGTGAGAAAAAAATGTCAAAACGTCAAAGCAATTAAAACTTTATCATCTGTGAATAAAACAAAACAGGATTCACAAGGTTTTTTTTTCTGTCTTATTCTTACCAGTGCTTTTTTATTATTTTGGGTTGTAAAGTCAGTACGTGACCTCAACATGTTAGTCACCTTTTTTCCACTTAGAGCGTGCAAATTTATCTTTGAAGTTGCTGTGGCTGCTATCCATAATGATTTTATGACACTTTATCAATCAGTGACCAAGCAACACTGCCACGTTGGACCATTTAAAAAAAATGTTGTTTTCATTTTCATTCCTCTACATCCCTTAGTAAACTCTTCTTTATGACCGCAGTATAAAAAAATAACGTGCAGAAAAAGCAATGTAAAAATAGACATTAAAATTTATTAGGTTGGTTTCACATTGTAAGGCAAAACTTTCTTGTTTTTTTAAGGCAGTACAAGGTTACAAGGCACAATTTAATTCAGCAGTTAAACCATGACACAGTACTAAACAAAAATACAATACAAAAATACATGTCTTGGGAATCATCATCTGCAAATCTGTCTTTGACTTTTTTTAAAGTGGCACATGTGTGTCAGCTTCTTGGTGCTTTTCTTTACACAAATTTCCTCTTTCAGATTCTTACCTGTAAATATGCCGGAGGCAGGACATAAAACATACCACAGACAGACAAGTTTGGTCATAACGTACCGAAAAGTTAACCTAGAAGCTGAACTTGGCCTTTCTTTAGCCTTTCCTTTCTTAGTTCAATAAACACAGAACTGTGCTACATTAAATGTTTGCAATGTAAGGCTTGTTGTAACATTCATGAAGTCCTCCCAAAGTCATGTTGCTGCGTCTAACGTCCACGTCTCTGCTCACCGATGTCTCCCAGTGATCAAGGCTATTCTGGTGCATGTCTGTTTTTAAGGGACCCTGTTCACACCTGCCACTAACCTGTGTCTTGAGCAATCAGATTGCTTCTGGATCGCGCTAAATCCAGGCCTGAACGGCCTCAATGCAGATTGAAAATGTTTTCACTCAAACCACCTTCAGAAGTGGTCTGGACCCAGTTTGATTTGGATTTGTTTGGTAGCCTGAGCACAGTCCATCCTGAGCCACGCTGCAGGACCTCCTACTGAACTGAACCCACCTTAAACAAGAAACAGAATTATTACGTGAACGTCTTGGGATTAAAATAAAGTTTGTCCAGCTGCCAAGTAAATAAAAATTATTAGTCTGGAATAGCCTGAAGATAGAGCTCTTTTGGGCTGAAGGTTTTAATAAGGCATTCCTCAGAATCCTTCTCAATCAAATGTTCCGTTTTGTCAGGATTTAATTAGACAGAGTGGATTAAAATACGGTGAGGTGAGTTTCTGCTGTGACTGGACCTGAGGAGTCAGTGCCATCTATAATCTGTCACACAGCAGACTGACTGTTATGGCACATTACAAGTATGGAGGACGAAATGTGACAAAATGAAATAAAAAATTCATAATACTTGCATAACAATTAAATGTATAATTTAATTATTAAATAAATCATGAAATATACAACTAAATTATACACCATTAAATAATGAAATGTATCTTTGAAATTACTTTCTTCAAGATTTATTTATTTATTTTATTTAGTCACATTCCACCCTCGTGTGTCACCATGAAATTATGTTAACTGTCAGCTTCACTCGTCAAACTCAGTGGGCGGGACTAACCCTAACCCTGACGCCTGATTGGCTGCTCCTCACAGCAAGCCAAGACAAATCAACCACAGATTATCGACTGATCCACAGGCCAGAAAATATATTCCGAAACTTTAGGAAGCGGTCATTGTGTTTACGTGTATTTGGATGAAACCTTTTTCATACCATGAATGTAAAGAAGACGCACTTTTTCGAGAATCAGCAAATTCAAACGAAGAAGCTCCACAGAGTCGGACCTACGGCCCCATGCAGCAGTGAGGATCACAAACCCCGGCCTGTGTGCAAGGTAAGATATTATATAACTTGGGTAATGCTCGTGAAACATGTGGCTCATCCAACAATGCTCAGCGTTAGCCCCGCCCCCTGAGTTTGATGAGTGAGACTGACAGTTAACATCATTTCATGGTGACACACGAGGGTGGAATGTGACTAAATAATAGCATAAATCATGAAACAAATTATTTCATGGTGTATTTAACAATTTAATTGTTTATTTAATGATTTAATGATGTATTTAATTAAATGATTCATTTCATTATTGTGTTTTTATTTCCTTTTGTCACATTCTGTCCTCCATACACGAGCTCCTTTTTAAACACAAATGAAAGAAAGTACTGATGTTAGGTTTACAGTAAAGCAGCCTAAAACATCTGTCAGGACACAGTGGACTTTTACAAGTTAAAGTCTTTAGTCTTTGACACAGAAATCTGTGAAGTCACTATTCACAGTATCCTTTAATTCTGCAGTACTGCAGCTGTTAGGTCACATCTAGAAACTGCAACTCAGATAGTTCTGAACTGTGTTAACGTCAGAATAATACTCTAGGGGTAAATTTTACAGAAACATCAGCAGACTGTGTTGCACATCTGCATACAGAGCAGGTACGTGATGGCAGCAAACACAGATTGAACATAAGGACTGCCAGGGGGAACGCCTTGCAGTCAAGTCACCGAGGCGGGTGTTGAAGTCAGGTCTGAGCAGGACCGAGGCGTCAGCCTTCAGAACAGCAGTATGTTTGAAAGTTACAAAACGCTTAACATTTCATCTCCTTTACTGAGCTGTGGAGCTCAGCTTCATCTGCATTTTATGTACAAATATATCCCTGAAGGCTATCTGTGAGAGGCTGGCAAAGAATGCTCTATTTTTAGCTACTTTTAAAGTTTCACTAACGTCAACAGCTTCAACTTTTATATTTTCACAATAAAAAAAGGTAAAGGATTTAAACAGTTGTTAAATAGCCTCTTGCTTTGTGATGGTTGGTTGAGGGATGGAGGTGGGCTGCTTGGGCACTGTAGCTATGACCCCTTGAGGCATTTTATAATGTTCTGAGCCGGAGGCTGTGGGTGGAGACGGGATCGGAGTTTCAGGAGTGGCTGAAAAGTGGAGCACAAAGAGACCGGAGCAGGTTAGAACTGCAGCAGGAGTCAGGTGTTTTATCAGCATTCTAAAATGATTTGGGGCAAATTCCCACAACCAATTAGTGCAGTTGTAAATGTTCTCCTAACCTAATAAACCTGCCGAGAAAACAAATAACAGTTCTCTTTAACAAAATAAGCCAGATTAGTTTCCATAAAGAATTTGAAGGATTATTTTGCCTAACCTGGCTGCACATGGAGCTGAGAGGAACATCTGAATATATTCCTTTATTTCAGGACGATTGTTGTTAACTTGACTTTAAGCTTCTGGCAGCCTCCATCAAATGTGAACAGGTTAAAAATGTTTGTTTTTATGCATTAAAAATGCCTGAATGTTGTTTGAAGACCTCTGTGCTGCGACCGTCGCAGCGCACATGAGATGTACTCACAGATTTGACCGTTATGGATGGGTGTTGGCAGGTTGCTGGCCACTATGACGTTGCTGCTGAGGTGCTCTTGGACCAAGTGCGGGTGCAGAGAGTGGGGGGCATGTGGAGCTTCATTAGCTGAACCTGAAGATGAAACCCACAGTTACAGTGTGCAGTCATCATTTAAAAAGGCTTTGTTTTGTTGTTGCTTCCTGTCAAAGACGGTAGTTCTTGTTTGTTTGCATGTGTTCATTTATCTGTGGAATTAGCAAAATATCTCAGTGACCACTGGATGGGTTTTAGTTACTGGATGTACATCTACAAATGACTACCTTTTGGAGTGAACCCAGTTTAAGATGGCCTCCCAGCTCTATGACATAGCCAACGAAAGAACTCTCCAAGTTATTCCAGTACTCAGAGGCTGAGCTAAAAGTCGAAGTAGTTGAGATTCATCCTCAACACAAAGACGACGGGTTAAACCTTCAAAGAATGTTAGCCCTAAAACCAAACTGTAGTTTCTACCCAACATTTTTCAGCCAGGTCATCTGGACAGTTTCTTTTTTTGTGCTGAAACGTTTCGCCTTCGATCCAGAAGGCTTCATCAGTAGTTTCTACCTTCTGGGTTCAGAAAACCCATTTACAGGAGGTTTTTATTGCTTGTGTCAGTATGAAGAGGAATAATCAGAAAAGTAGACGAGCCAGACGCTGTGCTTACCTCCAAGAAGCATCTCCTGCAGGAGGTTGTCGATCTTTGCCATGCCGAAGAGTTTGACGAACTGAATCTGCTCAATCATTTGCCAGGTGATGCTCTGTAGCGTCGGCAGCAGTAGGAGGAGCTCTCCGAAGCGACCGCGAGAGTCGTACTGCCTGTCGTTGATGTAATCCTCCAGGCTGACCTGGACCTGATACCGCATCCGCTTGATCTTTCCTGGGTCGCTCAGACCTTTAGCGTCTGTGGGCAAATAGAAAGAGTGCAGTGTGTTAATGATCTGCATCTGTAGGTGGAACCCCATTTGTTCAAGACCAAGTTTGGAATGATCGCTTCTAATTTGACTTATCAAGAGGCTTAGGAGAACCCAACCTTGTTGTCAGTACCAGTACCTGGGTCAAAGAAAACGATGGCCTTCAAGCAGGCGTATTCATTGTCGTCTATCTGGAGCTCCTGAAAGGGAAGCACCAGCTCATCCAGGATCCTTACTGCTACTCTGCCCACCTCCAGCTCTGGACAGTTCCTGGGAATAATGTGGTCATTTCCTGGAGAGGAAACTCCTTTTAATTCAAAAAGGACCACATTGAAGAATGAAACAATGCTGTATCTACATTGATTAACGTGTTTCCACTCTGTGCACAAACACTCTGTTTTACCTAATAGGAGAATGTCTTTGTAGAGCATGGACCTCTTGGCTGCACCAAGCAGGAGGTGTTCACCTGCGTGAGCTCGAAGCAAAGCCACCTGCAAGAAGGTTTAAGAAAAGGCAGTGAGCTGCATGCGTGGTAACAACCCAGTCCTTCGAATGTTGGGAGAAAAATGATTTTTTCCAAAGAGCTTCATGGGCAGCCCAAGCCTGGCGTAGGGCTGCACATGAACATCAGTGTGTGCTGCATTAAAACAGAAATGTGGACTAAAACTTTCCAAAAAGTACAAATCTGACAATCATCTGGACGTCTCACTCTAAATGTCCACATGGTGAGCGTGGAGAACGTCACATGACCATGTGGGTTTATCACAAGCAGAGTTGGAGAATAACTAGTTACATGTAACATCATTATACATTTACTTACAGATTAGATCTATAATCTTTAAAATTAACTCGTTTTTTCTTCTTCTTTCAGCTGCTCCCTTCTTCAGGGGTCTCCGCATCGAATAACTCGCATGAAGACTTGGCGATTGTTTTTACATCAGATGTTCTTCCTGACACAACCACAGCCTCTGTGTGGAGCAGAGCGCTGCATCTAGGGCGCCCAGGGGAGAAGATGGTGGGGGTTAAGGGCCTTGCTCAAGGGCACAGAGTGGAGCAAATGAGGGTGGAGGCAGGTGTGGGCGCTTCACCTTTCCCACCCACATTTTTGATGTCAGTGTAGGGAGTTGAACTGGCGACCTTCCGATCACAGGCCCACCTTCTCTGGCCTCTGCACCCCCACTCCCCCCACAATGAAATAACTAAATATTTTACCAAAATGACAGTTCCTTAAGAAAATCCCTGTGGTTACACTTTTCATTATATTTTCTGACACAAACTGATCTGCAGGGTGACGAGTGTATTTGTTTTGCAACAAAGTTCATGCTCAATCATCCAGGTACCAAATCCAGTAATTCTCAGTCAGGTCATCTGGACAGCTTCTTTTTTATAGAGACGCTTCATTCATTCAACCTTTATTTAGACAGGTAAATCCCATTGAGCCTCCAGGACTCATTTACAAGAGAGACCTGATAAACCCTCAGCCTCCATCCGGAGGGCTTCATCAGTCAGAGGAGTTCCAGTAAACTGTTTCCCCACCAAGCTGTGCTGATGAAGCCCTCCGGATAGAGGGTGAAACGTCTCTATAAAAAACAAACTGTCCAGATGACCTGACTGAGAATTATTGGATGTATTTGTTTTGGTTTTTCTTGTGCACAAAGCTGCGTGCTTTCCTCCTGTTGTGGGTGGAGGTCGTGTCTTGTGACAACTCTCTGGTTTAATGATCAGTTCAGACGGAGGCAGAGTACAGACTCACCCACCACCTTTCCATTTTCATATTCTTTAAAATGATGTAAAACAAGTTGTTTTATTCTAATCCAACTTCATGAATCTGAAGTGGGTTTTTTAGGATTACCTAAAAATAACATCTAAAATGCAACTAAATTCTTGCTCGTCAGATGATGCTTTTACATCTGGATGAAGAAAAGAATCAGACAAGTGCCTAACAATGTGTTGATGTTTACTAAATGACATGGGATGTCTCATTTCAAATTTAAGCTCATTATGGTCCCACAGTAAGAGGAAGAGCTGAAGTCTGACAATGGGTGGCTGTTATTTTATTATCACTACATTTATTATTAAATAAGGAGGTTTTTATGTGAGGCAGAACGGCGGAGCGGTGGTTGAAGCTAACACCTCACATCAAGGTCGCAGGATCGCCTCCGGTTTCCTCCCACAGACCAACAACATGCATGTTCGGCTGACTGGTAACTCTAAATTGTCCCTAGGTGAGAGAGAGAATGGTTGTTTGCCCCGTGTGTCTCTGTGTGTCCCTGTGATGGACTTGTAAAGTGTCCGCTGTCCCACGCCTCTGGTGACTGACTGCTGGAGATGGGCAAAATTCAGAAAAGTAACTAAAAGTAACTACATGCAATTGGTTACATTACTTTTACAAAGTAATGGTTAGGGAGTGGTGGTGGAGAGAGGTTAGCTAAGGTGAGCCTGTGATCAGAAGATCGCCGGTTCAACTCCCGGTTCCGACAACATCAAAACGTATGTGGGAAAGGTGAAGCACCCACACCTGCCTCCACCCTCATTTGTCCCACTCTGGGCCCTTGAGCAAGGTCCTTAACCCCCACCATCTGCTCCCCCGGGCGCTCTGGACAGCATCTCTCTGCTCCACACAGAGGCTGTGGCAGCTCGTGGTCTGTGGTCGAGTCAGGAAGGACATCTGGTGTAAAAATAATAATAATGATAATAATTATATTATTATCATTATTATTATTATTATTATTATTATTATTATTATTATTATTATTATTATTGTTGTTGTTGTTGTTGTTGTTGTTGTTGTTGTTGTTGTTATTAATATTAATATTAATATTAATATTAATATTATTATTATTATTATTATTAATAATAATAATGATAATAATAATAATAATAATAATAATAATAATATTAGTATTAATAATAATTCACTGTGGCAACCCCTGAAGAAGAGAGCAGCTGAAAAGAAAAAATAAACAAATAAAACACCTTTTGTATAGTAACAGTTAAACTACTTTTATATTTTAAGAGTAATTCGACTAGAAACTGGACAAACTGTAATTATAGTTAATACTTATAAACACATTTCTATATGAAAATGATGAATAATGAACAACTGCTGAAATGAGCTTGTTTTGTAAGATAAAAACGTGGAACACTGGCTAAAAGGAGCAAATCACTAGCTAAAAACTCAAACTAGCAAAAGGCTAGCTAAAATAAATTCAAAAAACGTTCAATACAAAAACTGCTCTTTGAACTGAGAACGCTCCTGTGATGAGGAGCAAAAGTCTTCTGTTACAAATAAAGTCCAGTTGTTTTTATATTGAACCTTTTTATTTATCATGTCCTGGATGACTGAGAATCTTCACCAGCTAGCTAAAATAAAATAAAATAAAATAAAAAAACAAGACTAAAAACTAGAAGCTCAAAACAGCAGAATGGTAGCTAAAGTTGAAAGTTGTAAAATTCCAGTTAGAAGCTAACAAAAGTGAAATGTTAGCTAAAATGTCAAAGTTGCATTTAAGGCAAAAACAGAGGAGCAGAATTTAATGAAGACAAGTTTACTTGTTTTTGTTTTTAAGGAATTAAAGTGATGTATTATTATGGGTAACATATCTTTAAATAAAGTTGCATTTTTCTGAAAAGTATAAAAGTACAAAAAACTACAATTTTAGCATAATCTCCTGGATGAGCTGAATGTTACCAATTTTATGAATGGCTAAAACATGCAAAGCAGATCTGAAGTAGTTAGTCCGTTAAAAAATGGACGGAATTGAATCATTATTTGAAAGAATCCGTATTTAGACGACGTTACTTTTAAAAATGAACCTTCCCAACACATCGCAGTATTACAGTATTTAACAGTATTTAACAGTATTTAACAGTATTTAACAGTGAATGTTTTCCTGATGCTGTGCAGTCCCAGAGCGGCTGCAGAGAACCGTCTGACAGGAGGCGCAGGGAGGCGCAGGGAGGCGCAGGGAGGCGCAGGCTCCCACTGCATCAACAAATCAGTTACTAAGAGCCGGTCAGGCACTGTTAATGATTCTGCACTTTTTCAAGGAGGGATGCAACTTTAAAAACCAGCTCATCATATTGTAACTCAGGATTAAATATGTTAGCCATTGTGGTTGAAACGTTTTAGAGTTTGGGGGTGAAAAGCCACAGCACCCTGACAGATCCGTCCAGCCGCATCATACTCTGCTTCACTCTGATTTTATGGAGGACGGACGAGCAGACGAGCCTGTGGCCGTGCGCTTCGTGACTCGCTGATAAGTGACCACCCCAGAGTGTGCGCTGCGTCTGTGTCTGAGTGTCACCTGGTCGTCCAGGGGCAGGTCGCAGAAGGCCGGGATGTATTTGGCCCACTCCACCAGGACGAGCAGCTGCTGCTTCATGGACTCGCAGACGTCTGTGATGGTGGCGATCTTCTTGGTCCTTATGTCACCGTTCAGTATGGGCGCAGGAGACGTGATCTGCACGGGGAAACAGCTGTAAACCTGCTGATCTTGTGTCGGGTGACTAAAGGCGGTCTGATTTACAGCAGGCCTCACCTGTCTCGACAGAACGTCCGCCTGAATGAGAGCATTGATGGACGGCAAACTGCTGTCCTCGTAGCTGGACCTCCTGGTGCTGATTCTGTCTCTTTCGTTTTGTACAGCTAGAAACATTTAAGACATCATCATCAGAGTCCTGCTCATCACCTGCTGCCCAAAGGCTAAGGTGGACAGCTGTGTGCATTCTTCTGTTCTACGTTTACTAAAACATCTCATGAACCACGAGACACACATTAAAAGTTGCAGAACGTTGGAGCTATGACTGATTATTTTCTGAAGATGGCCACCACAGCCAGCTGGCTTTAGAAACAAACATGGCTATGATCCGGTCATTTTTGTGTTTAATGACCTAAACTTTGGTGTGGTAGTAGCTGAGACTGATCCACAACACACACACTATGTACAAACAGGTATTAACTATTGACTGTGTATGCTTGTTAGCAAAATATCTCATAAAACACTGTACGAATTTAACAGCAGCAGATTTAGGGGCGGCTGTGGCTGAGTGGTTAGAGCAGTCGTCCTCCAATGGGAGAGTTGGGGGTTCAATTCCACCAGCAGTCACATGCTGAAGTGTCCCTGGGCAAGACACTGAACCCCTCGTAGCCTCTGATGTGTGTCCCATCAGTGTATGAATGTGATAAAGAGCTGATTCTTTGTAGAGATCTAGTATAGAGCTGTATGAATGGGTAAATGAGGCACAGATTGTTGTAAAGAGCTTCGAGTATCTTCATAAGACAGAAGTGTGCTATATGAGGACAGTCCGTTTACCATTTAAAGAAACATGTAGAAATTTATCACTGGACACAAGTCTACAACTGATCACCTTCAGAAGTCAACCAAATTCAAGATGGCTGCTACAGCTAATGGATGTTATCCAATACAAAATGGTTTTAACTTCAGATTTACAGGTATCAAGCTAGAATTCAGTGTGGTAGTAGCTGAGAGTCATTTACAGCACACTTAAGGTTGCTACATACTTCACAAGAAGTAAGACGCCTGTTCTCACTCACGTTCTAAACAGAACCTGTGGAGAACTCCTGGTAAGCCCCTCCCACTGCAGCAGACATCACACACAAACAGCAACGACACAGCGAGAGCGCCACCCTCAGGTAAATGGTATCTGGACTGGACTTATACAGCACCTTTCTATCTAATGAAGATGCTCAAAGAGCTTTACAACACGGTCTGTGTCTCATCTACCTCCAACACACATTCATACAACACTCGTCTACAAAGATCATCTGAATCTGTGGACACTAATCAGAGCTTTATCACACTCAGACACTGATGGGACACACATCAGAGGCTATGAGGGGTTCAGTGTCTTGCCCAGGGACACTTCAGCATGTGACTGCTGGTGGAATTGAACCCCCAACTCTCCCAGTGGAGGACGACTGCTCTAACCACACAGCCATGCCCCCGTGCACGTTTATTTTCAGTTGATGATGGAGGAGTTCGAGGAGGAAGACCACCACTGTTTCCGGCAGACGGTGAGCGAACGCTGCCTGGTTGGGGACAGACGCCCTCGGACACCGACTCAAAGAGTGTGTCAAAGAATGTCTCAGCGCTGTCCTCTGCATGGACAAAACTGTGCTACGTCTTTCCAGAAGTTACTTAACAATCTTTGCAAGGTTTATTTGACCATCTTTCAGTTTTGCTGAAATGGATGTAAAGATATTTTTTCACGGCCTCGACCAGCTGATCCTCAGCGGAGCCGTGTACTGCAGCTGCTTTTCCACATAAACATGTCCACAAAGTTCTGACCAATCACACGATACTTGGTGCAAACCCTGCAAGACGACAGTTCTAACGGGTCATGCACAGAACCGGTTCTCAGACGCACTAAGAACAAAGGACGCAATTTTTGTCACGCAACTGCAACAATGAGGAAACCGTGTATGCAGAGTATGTAGCTCTGAGACAGACTCCTCATGACTTCTTAAAGTTTAAACACGAGCTGAATGGACCTTTAAATTCAGGACTCACCAGGTCCTGGATGAGTGAGACTCTACAAAAACTAGTGCTGTCTCAGTATCACAGGTGACTGTGCAAACCCTTAAAGAAGGCTTTCATTGTTTTACATCAACAGATGAAAAAAGTGCAGTTCTTGTTCAGACAAGTTCACTTAAAATGTTTTATTCTCTTTCAGTTCAAGTGTTGCACAAAGACCAGCTCCTGAGATGCAGGAAGGAAGAAAAAGTCTCCTGGCTTGTTATGTTTATCAGTATATGGCCATTAATGCTTGGAAATGTTTGCTCAGCATAAGCCAGTCAGAGCGTTTAGCGCTCCGTGGAGTGAACATTAACAAAGTACTACTCTGCCGAGTCTTGCAACATCTGCAGACAAGTCAGATCAATTCAGTGGAGACGGCTCATGCTGTGCTCTGTGGCAGGGAGCTGCTAATTATATTCAGAAATCTGTTTTGTGTTTCGAGCAAAAGAGTCTGCAAGTTTTTTTTTTTCAATTAAAGCTTTGAAATCAATTTACTTTTTATACCTTCTTTCTTCATGCCAGCTCTGAAGCACTTCTTCAGTCTGCAGTATCTGCATTGATTCCTCTTGTCTTTGTCCACGATACACTGTCTGCTGAACCTGCAGCCAGGTCGGAAAGAACGGTTCAGAAGAGAGAATTGACAAAAGAAGCAGAAAAGTTGCAACATTTAGCTCAGCAACCATCATGATAATCATCTCTCTGAAGCAAAAACACCAACATCTGGCTCTTTGTAGCACGTCAGATTAAACATTGTTCTGCTCTAGATGTTAAATCAATGTTGCCAGCACGTCTTTGACGAGCACAGTGAACATATCACAGTGTTACCTGCAGGAGTACATGTGGTTTTTACGGACGCTGCGCCTGAAGAAGCCCTTGCAGCCGTCGCAGCTGGACGCCCCATAGTGTTTGCCTGTCGCTCGGTCCCCACAGATGGCACACAAGCTGCCTGCTGCCAGGTGGCCGGGCGCGCTCATGTTGGTGCTCTCAGCCGGCGAGGAGTCTACCAGGAGGAGCCGGGCACAAAGATGAAGAAAGAAAACGTCTCATCAGTTTAATTTTACGTCAGGGGACATATACGAGGTGACCTGAAACTAGAGCAGAGGGGATTTATTAGAAGCTAAACTAGAGGAGAGACAAAGAGCTTAAAGACTCGTCCTTGTTCGTTAACTTAGAATCTGCGAGGTAACATCTGAAGTGATGAATTGTAGAAGGTGTGAACGGGCAGGCAGGCTTCAGGATAGTCAACAGAGTTCGTTTGATTACCTCTGAATGGTTTATCACTGAAACCCGTTTGCTGCTGGTCTCACTCTCAGTCATAAGACCGTGTTGATCAGAGCGTTCTAAAGAAATGTGTGTGACAGATTACAATGGGAGGCTGACCCGTGTGAAGGCATTCCTGTTTAACACTTTATACCAAATGTATTCTCAAAACAGCTGAGTGGTGACGCTTCCTGTTTCTGATCTCTCACTGGGAATTTTAGAATCAGGATCCCAGCCGTGTGTCATGGGAGACTGCCTGTCCAAATAAGTTGTAAGAACGTTCCAGAGGAGAGCAGGTTCCACTCTGTGGGAACGTTTGTAACAAGAGAAGGGTGCTCATCACTCCAGCCTCAGCTTCATCAGCCCACCGACAGGCACCGCATCACTGTGCAAGCTGAAACAGGTCAGGGCTGCTCGGAGCCGCTGACCCGAGAGAATCCAGCAATCCCATAAAACCAAGAGCCCTTAGCGTTTTACTATCACGCCCTGAGGTGATAAAAGAAGGAGCACTGTAGAGGGGTCATCCCAGATGGACAAATGACCCTTATTATCACTCAGTGCCAGCGCTCCCTCTGACCCCTCTGTAGCAAAGTTTTAAATCAGTAAGAGTTTCAAAGTTCATTGCTCGAGCTGTATATATGGGACTCACCTGTGCCCAGCGGGAGCACCTGCATGTTCTCGAACTCCAGCGTGGTGTAGGCTGGGTCCAGAGCCTCGCTGTAGTCTGCCATGTCCATGTCTACCACAGCTTTGGGCAAACAAATTCTCAACTACCTGACAGTGGGGCTGAAAGATTTGTCCAAGAAGCTGATGCCCCCCTCCTCCTCCACTTCTTTCTTTTTCTCACACCCCCACACACCTCTAATAATCCCCCCACCCACCCCCCTCACTTCTTTAGGCCTAGCTCCGCCTAGTAATGGGACAGCCGGTCACGGGCCGGCTGAGTGAGATGAGGGCCCGCGGGTGTCAGAGAGGAGAGCAGTGGCTGACAGCAGAGCCTCTCGCCTCTAACCACCAGAGAGGTGGAGTGTCTCACTGGTTGATGGTTAACCAGCAGATCCAGTGGTGAATCGCACAGTTTTCTGTACTTGCCACCTCTGCACGCTTCTCTGTCAGCAGTGGATAAACACTTCCCCCACTTGACTTATGTCCTGTCAGTGTCTGCTGTAAACTGTTCGGCTTTTATTCAGTTTGTCACCTTGTAGCTGATTCTTTCAGATGGACATTTGTGCTCTCCGTTGTGGCTGCCGCCTGACTCCAGGTATGAGTCTTGGAGGGAAACGATCATGGCCTTGGTCTTTAAACGCTCGTGTTCAAAACAGCTAGGACAGTTCAAACTTCGGCTCATTCACCAACTCGGCCACCCTCAGTGTGGATCAGCTGCTCTATCACCCGCCACCGAAAAGGCCAAGGATGACGCTGTTGCCTGCTTGTGTCTGTTTGTTACCAAAACATCAACTGCACAAAGTTTGCACCCATTCCTGCACCGCTGTTGGAGTCTATACAATTCAAGATGGCCGCCACAGACAACTCATAATAAAACAAACGGCTCTAACTCAGTCAGTTTTGTAGATACAATCTGATGATGTCACAACTCTTTATTGTTCAAGATCTTTGCTGAAAGCCTGAGTATATGCTGTTTGTCTGTTAGCAAAATTTCTCATTAACCACTGAAGAAGTTTTAATGAAACTTTTGGAGAGTAAAGATTCAGTATATGTCTGGTTGGCTGCCTCAGCTAATCAACCTTTGCAAACACAAAGACGCCTGTAACTCTGTCAGTTTACAGCCGTCGAGCTGGGGATGAAGCTGAAAGCGCTCCTCGTCATCCTCTGGTGATGCTCAGGTGCATTCCCTGAACGAATGCTAGGACCTTCTCTCCTCCAACCTGCTCAGGGAATCACTAAAATAACGTCATATTGGAAACAATCTGAGTTCATAAGAAAAAAAAGATTTCATTTTGTTGTCTTCATATAGGCTGAAACATGTGTAGTTATTGTTGGTTAAACATATATCAAATAAAAAACAAAGCTAAAGGTAAGTTATAAGATTACTCAACAATAATTAATTTTTGATCTCACTGTGACAATAAAGTGACAATAAAAAATGCATTCAGGCATTTAAATAAAAGTACTTGTATTAAATTATTAAAAGGTAATATTCCTTTTATGTAGGCAACTACCAGGTTTAGGATCTGAATATTATGAAAAAAATTACTATGAAGACGTTTTAATAAAATACTTTGTGTGTATTACTGAGTCAACATTTATATTATCATTTTCCTGTTTATTCTGTACGTTTATTGCAATTAAACTTGTGCTGTAATAACTTCTGTGTGTATTTTAAATACTCATAAATTCAAATGTTCATCTTGATTGTGAGTAGTGTAAAGTATTATAGACTCAGTAACTTTTGAACGTTTTGAGTTTTTTTACTCCGTTCACAATAATTACACACAGAAAAACATCCAGGTCTGTTCAGTTGATTCTTTTTGAAACCTGCTTCAACTTTCTTCCTCTGTTTTGATCTTCCAGTGCTCCTCTTAGCTTTGTACTTCTCTCTCTTTTAACTTTTGGTTTAGGTTTTGCTTGTTGGAGCTTTAAGCTGCTGTTTTGCTAGTTCAAACTTTTAACTACTATCTGGCTAATTTTATTTTTTAGCTAGGGTTTTACACATTTCACCATTTAGTTTTGGTTTTGCTTATTGGAGCTTTAAGCGACTATTTTGATTGCCTTTGTTTTCAGCTACAGATTTGCTATGTTTAGCTTTTAGCTACAGTTTTGCTAGTTAAAGCTTCTGTTCGGCTTATCTGAACACTACCAGTTCATTTAACAGATAAGTCATCTACCAAATTCAGCAGAGTCATTGTTTTGTGTGGGACGGCTGAGAGCTTTTAGACTTTAGCGTTTAGCACAGACTGTCTCTACAGTTAACCCAGAGTATGTGAACAAAGGGACATAAAGTGAAGTGCTATGTGTTTTCATCATTGTATGGGAATATACAGTGATGAAAATGTTTCTCTGCATTCAACCCATCGCACTTGGAATACACTCTACGCACAAAGAAAAGAAACGATTAGGGGAAACTGGTTAAATGGCAGTAAAAGCAGTGTTTCAATAAACTAGGTGCAGCAGAACAGTTGGCACAGCCCTACAGAACCTCACTGACCTACTCAAGGAGAGGTCAGTGAACAAGGCCAGGCTGATTCTGGCAGATCCTGATCATCACTCCATGGTGATTTCAGGTTGCTTCCATCTGGACGCAGGTATCTGCTGCCCAAGAAAAAAAACAACTCATTTATCCCAGTAAAGATCAGGCTTCTCAATGAACAATGATGATTTCTGTTATTTTAATGTCTTGATGTGTTGTGTAGTGTGGATGCTTGGTGTGCCTGCTGACTGTGAAACTAATTACCCCTTGGGGATAATAAAGAGTCTTGAACTTGAACTAGGTGTCATTAATTCAGTTATGAGACCGTGACTCATGTTTGCATCTTTGCAGCTGCACTTTTTTATTTTTCTTGACATAACCTTTGAGAAAACACGCTGCTCTCCTGCTTACAGAAACTGCACAACTACTGGGTTATAACCTGAGCTAAGAAGTGTCTAAAGGAAGTGTTACAAACTAATAGCAGAAATAAGAGAGCAATGTTTGCCTCTAAACATTTAGCATCTTTACTTTGTCAGGTAACTTCTGATATATGACGCATTATTGGATTAAAAAACAAGCATGTTCTCTGGTTTTGGATGGTTTCCACGTGTGATTTTGCAACATGCTCTCCTGAGTGGGATTGTTTTTAAAAGTGCCAAACTTTTCCATGTTGCACAGCAAACAGTAGCCCTGTATTTGAAGAGAAAGTGACAGTACACAAGCTCAGGTCAACGATCTGAAGTTCAGCCAAACCTCCGAGGCACTAAAGCCCATGAAGGAGAAGTTGTTAACCGAGCACTCAAATTATACAGGGGACTCATAAAATTATTTTCTTTCTTCCGAGCAAACATCACAACATTCCAAGATGCTTCTGTTGGTAAATTTGAGACGATTTGTTTCAGTGAGTAAACACTGACAAAACCCACCTTTACTGTAATCCAATCATAAATCTACAGACGGTTGTGTACTTAATGTGATTAACTCGGTTCATCAAAAACTGATGATCAGTCTTTTCTTCTCAGAGGTCTGACACGCACACACACACGCACACACACGCACACACACTCTCAGATGATCACTGTGGATCAATCACAGCTTGATGAGAGCAGCTTGTTTTTCCTGAGTGTACAGAGGTCACGAGTTACAGCAGCGCTTCATGTTCGATCCGTGCTGCTCTGCTGCAATGCTCATGTTTGCTTAAAACGTACGCTGATTATTTCAAAGCAGAGCGCGTGAGCAGGGGGTGGGGGGTGGGGGGGCTGGTCAGGCCGAATCACTGCCGAGCTATGAATGAGTCACTCACAGCAAATCTTATCTTTCCTGTCATTAAAGTGCTTTTATCACTGCTCCCATCTTAAACTTCAGCAAAGTCCTGAAGGAACAATCATATAGTGAACTATAAAGTATAATCTGCAGAGTTATGGCTTTCTTAATCACAAACTTACAAATTGTTCTCATGCAAAAACCTCCAATTTCTTATCTGAGCTTTGCAGTGAAGGATTTGTGTTAACATGAACCTACAACTCCTAAAACACAGCCTGGATTTAACATGTGCAGCCTGTAAAACACATGAAAGGATTTTGTGTCAGCGTATGAAATCAAACATAAAAAGGTTATCCTGATCTGTATATAATGATGCTGTTTAACAACAAAGTCCATCCTCAATAATCCAGGTATACAATCCAACATTTTTCAATCGGGTCATCTGGACGTTTTTTTTTTTTTTTGTGCTGAAACGTTTCACCTTCCATCCAGAAGGCTTCATCAGTCAAGGAAACACACTGTTCCACTTTGGAGTAAGCTGTTGGGGGAAGAATCAGTTTTGTGTTGTGTGTTTCCTTGACTGATGAAGCCTTCTGGATGGAAGGTGAAACGTTTCAGCACAAAAAAAAAAAAAAATCTGTCCAGATGACCTGACTGAAAACTGTTGGATGCTGTTTAACAGTTTACGGAAAGTTTCCCTGATATATTTACAATATTCAGAGGCAAATCTGACATGTGGGTCCACACTCAGTGAAAACAAGTGGAACACCGATGTCCCCCGCCACGGAAGGATTTGAACCGTGAATGTTTGTAGTTTTGAGATGAGTGTTTTTCTGGACTGGAACTGAACAGAGAATGTAAACCTTAATGTTTTTGGTGCTAGATTTTAAAGTGGGCAGGAGTTACATTGTGTATGTGGGGATCTCCGTGTTGTTCTCCTGAACTCCCCTGTGTTTCTCTTCATTGTGTTCAACTCTTGTCTCACCTGTCGACAATCTTAATCACTCCAGGTGTTTGTCTTTCTGTCCCGTTAGTGTCTGCAGAAAGTCAGTGTCTCTCAGTTCCTCCTTTGTCCGTGCATTGCTCTGTTAAGGCGTCATGTTCTGTCTCCCTCTGATCTCCCTCCATTTATGAAAGTATTGCTGCCATGTCAGCCTTTTGTTTTCAACAATATTATTATTATTTTACTTTCAAGTTGGCAGCACGGTGGCTCAGTTGGTAGAGCTGCTGCCTCTCAGCGCGCAGGTCCCTGGTTCAAATCCCGGTCCAGGGTCCATTCTAGGTGGAGTTTGCATGTTCTCTCTGTGCATGCGTGGGTTTTCTCCGGGTACTCCAGTTTCCTCCCACAGACCAAAAACATGCATGTTAGACTGACTGGTAACTC